ATTATAGGTATGAGTCACTGGTTCTTAACTCAGATGCAAATTTTAACTCCAGACAAAAGACTATACTGACTAGATAGAATGATAGCCTCAAGGTTTGAGTATAGCCAGACGTGCTATAGGTTTAAAAAAAAAAAAACTAAGTCTTGGGCTGGGAATGTGGCTTCATGGTAAAGTGTATGAAGCCCTGGGTTTGATTCCTCAGTACCACATAAACAGAAAAAGCCAGAAGTGGCACTGTGGTAGAGTGTTAGCCTTGAGCAAAAGAAACTCAGGGACAGTTCCCAGTGCTTAAGTCCAAGCCCCAGGACTGGCAAAAACACCCTAACTCTTCTCTATATGGCTAAAATAGATTGGCATAAGCTCCCAAGTCAAAGCACATGCTTTCATTTTATACAATTTTGAGAATCTCCATCTAAGACCACTCTGGTGACTTTAAAGTATCTAGAAGTTGTAATACTTGCTGGAGATCTGTCTTCTTCATCTCTCATCTGTTCCTCGATTGGTGGCAAAATCAAATAGGCATGTAGGTCTTGGCAGACAAAAATCTGTCCTGCAGTGAAGTCCCAATGCAAAGAATGGCCAGGGACATCACTGGAAACGAAGACACTGGCTGACCTTTGTGCTGGTACTTGGGTTTCAATTCATGGCCTCTCACTTTCACTTAGCTCTTCTGTTCAAGAAGGGTGCTCTACCACTTGGGCACACCTCCATTTCCTGGCTGGCCTTTGAGTCACAAGAAAATGGGGATTTCACAGGATCCTGCCTGTGATCTTCTTGAGAACAGAGATCGAAGTCTGTCCTCCTCCCCTTCCCCCTCCCCCTCCCCCTCCCCCTCCTTCTCTTCCTCTTCCTCCACCACCTCCACAAACCTGCACAAACACAGCCAGAAATACATTCTGCTTTTTCAGTGAGAGGAACTGCAAAGTCACAGCTGGGGTTGTAGATATAAGGGTAGGTAAAGAATTGGGTAAATAATACCCTTAATCCAAATATAGACACTGCTTACTAGTTCAGATCAATAGACATATAAGAAAACTAAGGGCCCAAGTGGTTTGTGTCTGTAATCCTAGCTATTCAAAAGGCTGAGATGTGAGGACAGTGGTTCAAAGCCAGCCTGGGCTGGAAAGGCTATGAGACTATTATCTCCCATTAAACACTAAAAAAAAAAAAATCCAGAAGTGGAGCTGTAGCTCAAGTGGTAGAGTACTAGTCTTGAGCACAAAAACTCAGAAGAGTACACAGTGCCTGAGTTCAAGCCCTAGTACCAGCACAAAAAACAAAAAACAAAACAAGCAACAAAAAAAGAAAGAAAATCCAGGTAGAGTACCAGTGTACCATTGTACATGGATGGCACTTTATAACTGCCTTCTTATAGGTAAGTACAGCTTTTAGCCAATGTGCCCCTATCTGTTTGGTATTGTGGCCTGGTTTAGACTTCTTTTCCTATTTAGATTACTTTTCTATATTCTACATGGTTTCAATGCTATACTTAACTGCATTAAGCCTTATTAGCCAGCTAATAACATGACTTCATTTCTATATTTAATATGCCTAGTCTTCAAGTAGCTGATAAAGAACTTCATTTTATTCTGCCAAATGCCAACCATTAATGTCATTAAGGGACTGAAGCCTTATTTTTCTCTGCGACGGTCCTGTGAAATTTTAGTAGGTTATTAAGAATCTCTTGATGCAAGGTTCTAAGTTAGATGCTTTATACCTATCTCTTGGCTGTCTCTTCAATGAATATAACAATTCTGCAATTAATACAGTAATAGAATTTTGTGTGATGTAAACGTTGTTCGAAGAGATCAAATGAATTATTTAAGACAAGTTTGATGATGGCACCAGAATGAAAAAATATTGAGGAGGGAGGCTGCAATGTTCTCCAATGCTCACCTTGACAGGTATGCTTTTAATTTCCAGGTGCTTCTCTAAAACACAATGCAAGGCAGAATTTATGCCACATCATTTGGTGGCAATGTTGGTCCCACCAACACTTAGAGGATTACTTTCTGTGATACTGAGGGAACTAACACCTTATAGTTCAGAGATTTACATGGCCATTTAATGGTCAGGCTACAATGCAGGTTCAGTATATATTTTCTACTCTATCCTTTAAATGATTATATTTAATCATGGTCATTGAAAGTATGATCATCTGTAAATTTGCTAATGAAATCAATTTGTTAACTTGGACTCCAAAGGACTGAGTTTTTCTTGAAGGTTCTAGATGAATTTAGAAATAGTGAAAGAGTAGGCATTCCTCACATTTAATCAATGTCAAAACAAATAGCAGAGGGGACTTACGAGGAGGCCTTATCCTGTACTAGATTCTAGAACGTTTGCTTTATTTATAACACGAATTTTTAGTATCTGGGGACTTCTTGGTAACTAGTTCCTGGTTTGCAATTTCCTGAGCAATTTAAGTTAAAGAACAATCCTAAAAGCAGTCGAGCTAATTTACATTGATCTAAGAAACCTTGAAGGGAGAAAAGGTGGGCTTTATTCATTCAGCAATCTTCATGTTCCAAGGAACATATTTTATTTTAAATAGGTAAGTAATGAAGAGTTTCTCTTGGTGTTGTTTTAAGCTTCCACATGGTGTGGCAAGGTCTGCTAGGCCAGGCTCTGCCACTCTGCTGTGTGGAAACACGATGCCAGCCATTAGCTCTCTGCAATGACTTCCATTAGTCTGCATCTTCCATTTCAGGCATTTCTGAGAAGCCAGTGAGTCTCCTTTGGGTTAGTTTTGCCCCTGTGAACCTTGGGAGGTGTTTATTCTGGATTCTTAAAAATAGATACTATAAGAATTACTGGTGGTGGTTGTTTGTTTGTTTGTTTAAAAAATATGAGAAAGATCCCTAGATATAGAAGAAAAGGAAAGAAACATTTATGTAGTAGCTGCCCGCCTATCTTATGACTTGGCCCATTTGACAAAGGATGAAATCATCACAATGCCAACAGAGTAGACTTGTCATTTATCTTGTTTGTTGTTGTTGTTACCAGACTTTGACAGGTTAAAACTTTAAGTAGACTATTTTCCTCTCCTGTGTACCTTCATATTAAAAATCAGTTCTTATATATGGTATTTAAATATCTGATGCCAAAATATATTAGGCATCAAACACTATTCGTTGAACATGTTGACCTCTGACCTCTGTAGAGCAGTGACCTATTGCAGCAATGCTAAGTCTCCAGTAATCTAGACTCTACTACTTTAAACAGGAGTGCTTGCCTTTGCAAAAAGAAAGAGTCTTACAATCCATTCTGATCTGACCATGTTAAACCGCATGTCCATCGTGAGCCAGCAGTTGTGACTAAGGGTGCGTTATGTGGGGGGATAAACTTCTCTGTTTAGTTCAGCTCAAGTTCAGAGCTCATCAGTGGAGATGAGACAGGGAGTCAACATCTTCCAGGTGCTATGGTTCTGAAAATGAAAATGCATCTCAAGGAAGGTAAAAAAGGAGACCAAGGAGACAGGCAAACACAAACACAGCCCTTGTCAACATTATTCATTCTAACAAACCTGATAGCTAGAAGTATGCTTAAGGAATGTGAAGGAGAAGGAACAAATTAGACACAGTTCTAGCCCTGGGTGTCTACATTTTATTGCGGAGAGAAAAGTAATTTAACAGCTATAGAAAGAACTTGAGATGATAGGGTATGAAAGTAGAATGACTAACTAGTAGGCAGCAGGACAGAGTGAGCAGTCAGAAATAATGGTTCATTCTTGAGGAAGTGAAACGGCATTGAGTATTGAGTTGGCCAAGAAAGATTTTGGGTCATGTGTGATAAGTTGCTGAGAGAAACAGAAACATGGTGGGGGGGGGCGGTGAAAAAACCAAGCCATTTCAGGGGACAGAATGAACAGAAAGATTAGAAGAATATGTAATGCTAAGGGATTTAGTGGCAAATACAGTGTTCTAACTAGAAACATTGTCCCATTTCACAGACTTACTCAGAGATGTCTGTTCCCACATGGATAATCAAATAATTAGGAGAGGGTAGCTGGAATATGATTCTGTACTAGATGGCAGTGGTTTGCATCTACAATCGTAGCTACTCAGGAGGCTGAGACCTAGAGGATTATGATTCAAAACCTGCCTACAAGGAAAAGTCAGTGAGACCTCCATCTTCGAAATGAGCAGCAGAGAATTAGGCTGAAGGCGTGGTTCAAGTGGTAGAACACCAGCCATTCAAACTAGCTGAGCAAGCATGAGGCCATGAGAGTTCAAACACTGCTCAGTGGGGCGAGGAGGTGTATAAGATTTCTTGCTGGATGAAAGCAGTAACATCTATACTCACTGGTGAGTTAACTCTCTTTGCTCAGGAAAGCAGTATACTCCAAAAGATATTGCCTTCAATGGATATGGTTTCCTCTTAAGAATTTCTCATGTTTGATCACTTGTATCATTTATGTTCTAAAGAGAACAGAAAGTAGCTGAGCTTTTAGCCATATTTTTAACTCAAATTATTTCCCATAAATATTCAAGAAGCAGGGACAGTAAACTTTACTGTTTATACATGAGAAATCTTCTGCAATTTGGAATATAAACATAAAGCATATATTTATAATGCTTTATAATATATATAATATAAATATAAGCATTATCAATACTTCCTTAAAAAGATTCACCTAGATCTCAGTGGTTCTGATGTTTTAGAACCAGAGGAGTGGCTCTGAGACACATGCCTCTGATTGCCTAGTAATCAGTACTATTACAGGATGTTGACTTGAGTGAGGAGATAGAGCAAGACAAAACTATAAAACCCAGAGCTCTGTCAAGTACTAGAATCTCAGGATTGGCCATTTTATCTGACAATCAACTTACTGATGAGTTTTCTATACACATATCTGCCATGTTTGGATGTCTGTGCCTCTTGTTTTTCCTGAATTGATAATTAGTAGAATCTGCTAACCAATTCTAATTTGAAACGTGGATCTCACTTTGTGTTTAACGCTGGAAAAACAGGCCTTTACCTGCTTGTGTGGAAGACCAAATTGTTCCTAGCATCTTGGTGCTTTTATCCAAAAGTGTTGGCACTTGCCATTTGTTGCACACATCTGTAATCTGTGACTTGCTGTTTCGAGAAGGGACTAAACTCTCTAATCTGAGAGGTAACTTTAGCCATGTTTAGAATGTACAGCTCAGAAGCAGCTGGGTAGAAAAACCAGAAAGAAAAAAAAAACAGGGCTGAGAATCAGATGAAACCTGAAGAAATCAGTGACACAATCACTCTCCTTTCCCAAGATTCTTGTAGGAAATAACTCTCACCTCTGTGATATGGTATAAAGCATACGTGTTTCGAGGCCAGAGAAGAGGAAAGGAGAGTACAATACGGAGCTTGATGGAGGGTTCCTGGTACATTTTAGGCAAGGGTGTAGAAAAGCAGGATCAACCTGGGCTACAAAGTCCAGCAGAAATAACCAAGCAGTTTCCAGACAGCATCACAGCCAGGCTGGAAGCAGTATCTGGGGGACATCTGGTCTGGGGCAGTCATTGATTAATAAGGAACACCCAAATATGGAAGCCATGACATCAGAGAAAGGAGAGGCAAGGGGAGTGGTGGTATGGGAGGATTCAGGGGTGCTCAAGACACAGGAAGCGCCAGGAGGTAAACCATAATCCAAGAAGAAGGCAAGAACAGGATAGTCATGACCCTGGCACTTCTAGAAGGTTACATCTGGTCACTGATGCTGGGCACAGGGCAGAATATACATACCAGGCATATATACATACCAGCCCTGTGAGCTTTGATGGGTCAGCTGTGGCTCTCCTGAGTCTTTACCATCTATGCTGGACCATTGACTAGATCTAACCCTGACCACCTCTCAGCTAGATCTTCTTTCTCTGTCAGAGCAAGGTAAGGACTTCAAGTCCAAAAAAAAAAAAAAGAAGTGAAAAGAAATGAAGAAAGGGCTCACAATTTTCTCCAGAACAAATTAAATTTTGGTGATTAAATTGTGAATGCAGTTTTTAATTTTTCTCTTACAAGGCAGTCTGATGAATTCCTTTTCCAACAGCTATTGGCTTTAGAGAATACAGAATGGGCCTTTTAAAATTACTTCTCCAAATCTCCCACTAGTGTTCAAAGTAATTGCCTTTCAATATCCCAATAACTGGTCATGGAGGTATTAAGAGTATGTTGGATAAACCCCGGAGCATTCTCAGTTCAGGAGGACAGGGAATGAATATCTGTGGTGTTGTGAGCCTGTGACACATCCCAGGGTTCAAGACCACTGTTGGGGTCATGGCTAGACTTCTCTGAACCTCAATTTCTTCCTATAACATCTGGAACAAAAATATTCATGGTCAAGACTGCCTTGGAGGATTGTAAACAGTGTATATGAAATATTCATCCCAGTGCCAGGATTGGAGAAAGGTGTTGAGGACCCAGAATAGGAATTGTCAACCAATTGTGCCTCAAAAGATGCACAGTACTGAGGAGACTCAAGAAGGAATAATTGTAGACATGAACAAGTATTTCTGTCTACTTGCTCAGTAGCTGGGGTTTAAGGAAAGTGTTGCGGCTCTGGTAGAGATTATATGTCAACACCACGGTGGACTTGTGGTGTTTCCAAAAGAGGTGCTGAGTAATTTCCAAATGAGAGCCCATCTTCCCCTCAGTAGGGACTGGGCATTTCTACAAGAACTGTGAGTAAAGATTGCTGGTTGAGTGAAATCATCTGGATTAAATCTTAGATCTCCTTACTAGAAATAACTTGGCTTAGAGAGCAGAACAATCTTTTTTTTTTAATTTTATTTTATTTTATTTGTGAACAAACTGTACAGAGGGGTTACAATTGCATGGGCAGGATAATGCATACATTTCTTACCAAGCATTGCAGCCTCCTCCTTTGTTTACCCTTCCCATCCCTT